CCAAGAACCTTGAAAACACAGGAAGAGGAAAACAAATCTCATTATTTTTATACTCCAATTTCCCTACTAACATTTTCTAAGCTACTTCTGAATATAATAAACCCTCTGGAGAAGTAAATCGACATCCCCTTAGTTGACAGCAATGATATTTAGCAAGCAGCAGACATAAAAAATTTTATTTTAAATAAAACTATGAGCAGCCAATGAGAAGATGTAGTATTGGGAAGTGATGTAATAAAGAAACATTTACGCATCAACTAAAAATAAAAAACAATTTAAAAAATCCACTTACTGCTATACCAAACCGTAGTATATTGTCGTTATTGCATTGATCAATCACAGCTTTCAACATTGAACCATCGTGTGATTCACCATCAGTTACAACCACCATTACTTTGGTAGCACCTGGTCTTCCACCAGCAACTGCTGCATAAGCGAAATCTCTGTGGCAGATAAAAGTAAAGACTCATGATCAAAATATGAAGTTAATATGTGGACCTCTGGTTAGAAATATAAGTATGAAACTAACTTCTTTGAGCATAACCTATTGTGACTTAGAATTTCTCCCTGCCAGGTCTGGTGATGTATTTACATTCTATGTGCGGCTTATAAAGAAACATAAAAATATAAATCTTGCTTCACATTGAAAGTAATTTCCATGGTTTCTGTGGTGCGTATATGTGTGTTTACATCAGGAATCCTCAGAAGTTTCTTCTGATAAGAAAATTAAAGTCGTAAATAACTAATCAACATAGCAAAAATATTCATTTCTACTGTATATTTTACTCACTGGATCTGTATTAGTTTTTCAATACTAAATGTTTTTTTAAAAAGTAATAGATACACATGGTAAAAGAAATTCAGAGTATTTGGAAAGCTATAAAACAAAAATCTGACACCAATCTACCATTCCAAGGAAGTGACTATTATCACCTTATGTTTCCTTCTAGAAAATCTTTTACCTATGCATGGTCTACTCTTTAAGCTTTTATGCAAATAGGGGCATATCCTCTACGGTTGTTTTTTATATTGACAGAGATTTTTCCATATCACCACATATAAAGCTCTTCTTTTTCAATGGCTGCATAGTATTTCATCATTTGGAACCATAGTTTATTTAACATTTAGGCCCCATTATTGTACATTTAGGCCATTTTGAGTTTTATAAGTTATGCTGTAAAGAATGTCCACATGTATATATCTTGGCAGACTTTTCCAGATATATTAGTAGGATAAAGTCTTAGCAGTGAAATTACTTGGACAAAGGATTTATACATTTCAGATTTTGAAAAATAATGCCAAATTGCCCTTTAAAATTTTCACCAATTTATATTACCATCAGTGTACAAGCATGCAAGTTACTTCATCTCCTTTGCTGAACAATGATGACTATTAAACTCTTTTTAATAAGTTCATTTGGTAATTGAGAAATATATAATTATTGTTTCAGTGCAATTTTTTCTTTTTGAAGGGATGGTGAGCAATTTTTATATATTCATTAGACATCTGTTTTTTTTTCTCTACAAACTTGATTTTTTTCTTTCTTTGCCCATTTTCCTTTGTGGTGTTCATCATTCTCCTGATTAGTAAGATCTCTGATAATAAGCAAAATTATCCTTTGTCATATATATATTAGTTCCTTCAGTTCATTAGACTTTTGAATTTTTTAAAAAGTAATAGATACACATGGTAAAAGAAATTCAGAGTATTTGGAAAGCTATAAAACAAAAATCTGACACCAATCTACCATTCCAAGGAAGTGACTATTATCACCTTATGTTTCCTTCTAGAAAATCTTTTACCTATGCATGGTCTACTCTTTAAGCTTTTATGCAAATAGGGGCATATCCTCTACAGTTGTTTTTTATATTGACAGAGATTTTTCCATATCACCACATATAAAGCTCTTCTTTTTCAATGGCTGCATAGTATTTCATCATTTGGAACCATAGTTTATTTAACATTTAGGCCCCATTATTGTACATTTAGGCCATTTTGAGTTTTATAAGTTATGCTGTAAAGAATGTCCACATGTATATATCTTGGCAGACTTTTCCAGATATATTAGTAGGATAAAGTCTTAGCAGTGAAATTACTTGGACAAAGGATTTATACATTTCAGATTTTGAAAAATAATGCCAAATTGCCCTTTAAAATTTTCACCAATTTATATTACCATCAGTGTACAAGCATGCAAGTTACTTCATCTCCTTTGCTGAACAATGATGACTATTAAACTCTTTTTAATAAGTTCATTTGGTAATTGAGAAATATATAATTATTGTTTCAGTGCAATTTTTTCTTTTTGAAGGGATGGTGAGCAATTTTTATATATTCATTAGACATCTGTTTTTTTTTCTCTACAAACTTGATTTTTTTCTTTCTTTGCCCATTTTCCTTTGTGGTGTTCATCATTCTCCTGATTAGTAAGATCTCTGATAATAAGCAAAATTATCCTTTGTCATATATATATTAGTTCCTTCAGTTCATTAGACTTTTGAATTTTAGTGGTATTACTTCTGTACAGAAATTTTATATTTTCATATAGTCAAACCCACTAATTTTTGTGTGTCTTTGACATTTTATAGTAAAAGGACTACTTATCTCCAGGAACTCTTTAATCTCCCAAGTTTTCTAACAGTTCTTTAATAGTATCATTTTCTTAAGTTTAAATTTTTGGTTGAGTTGAAACTTATTTTGATTCAAGGACTAAGGCAGGCATTCAGCTTTATTTTGTTTGTAGACGGCTGGTCAGTTGTCCAACAAATTTTTTCTGTCCATTGGATTCTCTTTCTATGCAACTCCTTTAGGTTAACCACCCCTTCTTTAGATTAACTACCACATATATGATGAGACACCTCAAAATCTATATCTGTTTCCATTCATCCCTCTCATCTTCAAATTTATGTACTCAATGCTTGCTCAATATTTTTATCTGACTATACAAAAGGCACTTTAAAAAAAGTTCACACTGAGAGTATCATTTTACTTCCTAAACTTCACCATATTCTATGTAACAGAGTGCAGAAATATAGAAAATATTTCTCAGTCAAATTTGAACTTCAGTGCTTACATTAAATACTTTTTGAGTGAATTGTGTTCTTTGTGACATGCAGTAGAGCTCATGTATAATTACAAGGTTGCTGAGGGTATAGAAACTGTGCCTCATTTCATTTTGATTTCCTGCAGGTCTCAGAGCAATAAATTGTAACCGTAGGTACCCAAAAAAATAAGATGAGAGGAAAATGCAATATTTACTGAAAGGGCTCAGAATTCTATTTGATGTAAAGAAACAGACCAAAAAAAAAAAAAGAGAGAGAAAGAGAAAAAAAGAAAAGCAGTTACATTCTAGAAGGTATGAATAAGAAAATTAGATGACTCTCTTAACAATGGAAAGACTCACTTGGGAAACAATGGTAAGACAAAGTTTTGAAAAGATGATGAAAGCCATACAAGTTCCATCGTAAGAGATGGTGGCTACTCTCTTTGAGAAAAAAGGTTGCCAGGTCCCCAGCCTCCTTCCAGGGAAAAATGCCACAGCCGTATTCCCTGTGGAAAACACAGGCCCTCTGCAGTTCCTCACTCCCAGTAGGCTATTTCCTGTCACTAAGTCTAGTTTACTAGATCAGGAAGGGCACTTCCCCTAATGGCAACTCACCTACTGACTAGCCAGCAAGCAGCTCATGAGATGGTGTGGCCCAAAAGACAACTTAATAGGCTGGTAAAGATTAACCAAACCAATCATATCTTGTCTTATAGGTAATCTGCTTTTGGGACCTAACGGGAGAGTCACCAGTTGACAGAAGTAGCAACTAGAATATATACCCCCAAAAAAGGAAGGGCAGATGTGATAGGAAGTTGAGAAACAGAAATGACAGGATGTGGTGACTAACCAGATGTGTGATCCAAGGAGGAGAAGAAAGAATAAAGAAAACAATCAAGTTCTTACTCTGCATGACTGGAGAAAAGGCAGTATAGCGTGACTCTAAATGGCAAAGTAATGAGAAAAGGCCGGGAGGAGAATAAAGCCAGTTCAGGGCATATTGAATTTGATAAGTGAGTCAACACTCCAAGTAAAGATACAGCATCAGCCATACCCGTGTGAACTTTGGGAGGGCTCAGGGTCGACAACACAGCCATGGGGTGACCCACCCGAGGCTGATGCTGATGCCATGAGAGTGGATACCATGCCTGAGAGCAAACAGCTATTAAAAAAAAGGGCTCTGTTTAGTGAAGAAAAAAATGCAGAAAGGAGTCAGTGAAGAGGCAAAGTTGTTGACAAAGAGTTGGCAGGGATTCCAGAACTTTGTGATGTCATGGGAACTGGGGCAGGAATAGCAATGCACGCTCATCATTATCAAATGTTCAGGGAAGTTACAGAAGATGGGGCTTGAGGCAGACCAGGGGGTTGCTGAGTGATTGATTAGGAGGGCTACATTTATCTGGTGGCAGAGCCACATTTCAAGGATGTGGAAAGACCAGGCATAGACACTGCTTTCCTGGAATTACGGTAGTGGAAGGAGGGCATGCACAAGATGAAAGAGGAGGAAGCAGGTTTAAAGGAAGGTGAGCTTATTGTTCTCATTTATTTTATAACAATAGGAGAGTGTTTAGCATTTTTGTAAAGACAGTATGATTAAAAAGAGAGTGAAGATGAAAGTCAGCAATGCTGAGAAAATAGAAAAACTGAGCTAAGGATTAGGAAAGTGCTGTGTGGTTGTAAAATTCACAGGCCTCAGATTGTGAAAACCAAAATAGACCCATTCAGCTCACTCTTCAGTCAGTAGCATTTAAGATTCTCTGGCCCTGATCAATTTGCATGAAGAGCTCCATTAGCTTAAGTTGTCTGTGGCCTTGACCAATATGAACAATTGCAGACTGCTTGAATTCCTATTTACCCTAACGTCTTCATTTACTTCATAAAAAATTTAAAAAGTCAAGTCATATTTTTATAGAAGTCTCAGAAATCGAAGATTTTTAAATTTAATTCCTCACTGCCTTCTCAAAGTGTTCCAGTTACAGAATGTTGGAACTTTTCTTCATTATTTCTGATTTAAGTGTGTTATCAGGTACATTATTTTTCTTTGCCTTTTCTTTCCTTTCTTCTTACTTACAAGCACTCTACCAAAATATTGGCTTAGTAGCATCATAACTTACCTTGCATATTGAATTGCTTTGAATGTGTTTGTGAGATCGCCACCATACTGGAATGTCTTAGATGTTGCTTCAATCATTTCAGCTTTGGTTTTAAAAGTATTCAGGTTAAACACAACTCGTGGATTATTGCCATATTGAATTAACCCCACCTTTAAGAGAGCATAAGTTTAGTAAGGGGCTGTCATTAAGTTCGATTTCAATGTAACCATTATAACCAAAATCAAAAGCTCACTTGGACTGGGCTGGTAGCTTAAGGGAGTCAGTTCTAACTTTGTTCTTAAGAATAGTTATTTCTTCTTTGTCAGAGGCTCTGTCAGTGACAAGAAACAGTACTGTGGAGAGGCAAGATGGTGTGCCATCATGCATAATTAGGTTCTCAAGAGTAATAGTTATAGATTTTTAAGTATAATCAAATAGTTATAGACTAGCTAGTAATACACATTTTAAGCATGGCTGTATAATATTTCAATATGGATAAATACTAGAATAAATTATTAACAGAAAATTAAATTTATATAAATAAGTTTTCTAATTAACAATGGACATAACCATATAAACAATTATAACCAGTCATAGATGGAAGATAACATCTCATTATTTGAGGATAATTATAAAATAAAGAATTGGAGTTGAATACAGGGAAAACCACTGTTCTCATCAACACAATCAATCTGGATGTATTTTTTGTGCTCGATTTCCTTTAATCACAGACTTAAGCATCTCTGAAGAAAAGCTGCTATATGTGTATGTGGGCAGGAAGTTTCTGGCTTTCAAAGAAAATGCCAGTATGGAGAGTCTTATTTGAGAGCCCTGAGAGACAGAACAACTTCTGAACAAGATATCTGTGCACAGATCCTAATCCTCTAGCTTAGCAAGTCCAAACACTTCTGCTAACATCCTTACTCTCGGCACTGACATCATTCTCTAAGCCTAGGAGTAGGGGCCTCCAGAACAGGAAGTGGCAATGAGAGATCAGCGGCCCAAGGCTCTCTGAAGTAGAGGTAGTCTATAAGGAAGGTGGAAGGGCCAAAGGCTGGATTTCTGAATTCAATCAGCTACTTTTGCTAGGATGGCAGTTAACTAGGCACTGGGAAGATAGTAAAAAAAATGGTATTGCTGGACCTCTCTTTTAGGATAGGATGTAAGACTTGAGAAAGGGGAAAGGATCAAAAATAACTGTAGGGATTTCAAAGTCCAATCTGAGAGGAAGATGGTAGTGACTCCCATGACGGAGCCCCAGAACTTCTATGGGAGAAAGGGGAAGGCTGGATAGAAGATGTAAAGAAATGTGGTGCGTCAGAACTTACAGTTAGGCAAAATTTAGATTGTAAGAAAAGAGACTAAGTAAGACCACCTCTAGAGATGAAGAAGATACATTGGGACAGGAAGACAAGAAGAGGAAGGCCATGGATTCCATACAGGAGACTATTAAATAAAATAAGTCAAGTTATGAAGGCTATCCATTTAGAGATGAAAAAAATAAGCAGATCCCCCGGAAAACTTCTCTTAAAATGGGCCTTAACAGTGATGCTCTGTGGAAACCAGGATTATACAAAGTCTTATTTAACAGAAATTTCGGGTAAAAGCCCACAGTGAAACATGCAAAGTTTCTGCAGACCTTAATGTCTTCTTGGTATTGAAAAGCAATGTCAAGGGGGAGAACATTTTATAATTCTCTTATAAAAAAAAAGAAAGCAGGAAAGCAAATTTCACTACAGATAACTGCAGAGCATTTAAAGGACAATGTCCCAACTATTACTAGATGTTTGACTCTGGACCATCAGACGCAGCCCAAGAATGTACCTAGTAAATCTGTGAACCGGTCCCTGTTCACACCGGATCAGCATGATGCTACAACCAGAATGACCCATGAAATGGCACATCCAATAAGAAAGAAAGAGGTTCAGAACTTTTAAAATAAATGCTGTTCAGTTTTATAGAGGCATGAAGCTTCTGCTCTTGAGTGAGTTTTGGTTGCCCACCTCAAGAACATAGAAAAGCAGGTTAGACTCCTTCAGAGACAGCTATGCAAGATTATTGAAAACACGTGTCCTATGTAAAAATAGAAGGCTAGGTTAGAATATGACAAATGACTATAAAATAATGAATGGTAGAATTATGCTGTCTTGGGACTTATTTACAAAAAGCCCAGAATTTGAGGATAACTGTTTTACTTGCAAGGAATAAACAAGAGAAATTCATTATTAGTCCAAGTTAGCATAAAGAAAAGACATGTACTGGATTATAAAATGTATTGATAATCTATGAGTTAGAGGAGAATAAAAATAAGCAACTAAAGAGAATCAAAATGCTATGTCCCACATCCACGCCTGTGTCAGATAAGAAATCTAAACACAAAGACTAGCATTGGGTAAAGTCCTAGAATAAGTCAATGTAGTACAAGTTTCAATTAACATTCTACATTGCCATTAAGTGTATTTGATACAAGGATTTGAGAAACCTGCATATGGAAAGTTAAGACCTCATATCTGACAGTATCTTCTCAGGAAGAAAGCCATGGGTTAGCGTGTGTATTATTGGTATCCATACCTGTGTCTTTGTGGGGCCTATATCCAGGCCTTGTACAAATTTTTCCAAGAAATTCTTTACTGCATCCCAGGGATAAATACTGTTTGATTCATCACACACAACCACAACATCTATGAGGGAAGGGCAGGCTATGTGGGAAAAGATGAGAGAAACAGAGTTCCATAAGTGATTCAAACTTCACAATAATGAGAATGAGACTTAAACCAAAGTGGCGTTGAGGGCTAGGGTGGCACTTGTTGATAAACTGCTCCCCCTCCTGTCATGTAGGGTGTTGCTCAGACCCTCGGCACTGTCACAACTTACTCTGCACGGCAGGTGAAAAGCTGGCCAAGAGCTGAAAATCGGGACTGACGTCAGAACAAACACCCGTGGTGTAATACTGATTTCCGCACTGCTGTGCCCACAGGGGACCACATGTCTTCAGAGAAACGAGAACCGTGACAAAACACATGGAAAATGTTAGTCCTCTAACCTCTCCTTTTGTGAAAATCAGAAACCATTTCTATTCTTTCACAAGACTCTAGGAATTGTCAACTGCTGAAACGATCCAGTCAAAAACGTCTTTGCAGGAAAGGGCAGTGGAACAAATGCAGTGAGGGAGGTGGGCATGCACTGTGCCCACGGGCTGGTCTCCAGGGAGAAGGTGCCCAGGGATGTCAGGGGAGGGTGTCAGGGAAGGGGCACACTGGTGACCCACCAAGCCAGAGAAAAGGGGTGCTTTCCTTCCAGAGAACACCCAGAAGAAAAGTACGTGCAAAGTTGATATTCTGTCTCTTCACTACCTGGGACGGAGGGGCTTCATCAGCAAAGAGGCAACTCAAACTCACTATCTTCGTGAAGCTTAAGTGCATCTACAGATATAAACACTTAGAAGAGTATTGGGTAAATAGCAAATAGTATATAATTGTTAGCCAGCATCATTATCATTGCTATTCTTGAACAAAGGCCTCCATCCTCTCTCTTCCATTTACACTCTTCAGCAGAAACCATGAACCCCCAGGGCCCCAAAGGCCAGGCAGGAAACTAGCAGAGTGCGCCTGGCCACACAGGACAGCACGGGGATGCAGAGCCATGCTGCACACACTGCGGCAGCTCCTGCCCACTGACTGGGGTGAAACTACCTTGGGTTACCATATCTCCTAGATTTTCAAGAGTCAGAGAAGGCAAACTTTGTGTGAAAATTCAGTTGAAAAAACCCACACTGTGTGCTAAACAAACACAAATGCAGTTCATGAACTGCCACTTTTTAACTGTGCTATGAAGTATTTCTTTGAGGACTTCAGTACCCCATATTTCTACTCCCTCAAACCTTCAATCATCCATGCTGGAACCTGTCTCCTTGCCCTTGTGCTGCATACATACTCCAGGGTGTAGTATTTCCATTAACCCAGTCCCCAATCTCTCCTTGTCAGCGGCCCTTGAATGCCAACAACTCCTGATTAAATCCTGATTAAGCCACATGGGAAACATTAAATAATATTAAAATCATTAGAATGTAAAAAGAGAAAAATTGGAAAGAGAAGCCTAGTCAAGATCTTAAAAATCATCTACAAGATTTAACATTATGTAAAGCCATGAATCAATTATTAAAACTGAACTGAAAAGCATGGACTTATAAAAAACAATTGGAACAACAAAAGGGAACTTATTTGACCCAGTTTAATTGTTAGTAGCTCAAAGGAGAAGTCATACTTCATGCTCAGTGAACAAGCCACAGTTTTTTTCTCCCAAAACCTGGTTCATTTTGCCAGTTTATTAGGGGGAAGTCATGAGCAATACCCTTGATTAGTTTAGCAAATAAGAGATACAATTATTGATTCCTATTTCTTCATCCCCAAGTTCTTTTTGCTTTTATCACCTTGAAAAATAACTCATGAAGTATTCAAGAAATTTTTTTTGTTTCAAAAGCAATGGAAAACAGAATTAAGAAGTTGAAATTAGAATATGCCAATTCTTAATGCCAAAACTACATTCCTGCTTTATGCCCAGAATTTATGAAGTTTCAAAAAATGTGATGATTTGTCAGTCTTTTCCATATAATCCTTAAGAGTATCTTAAGATTTTGACCTTTTAGGTCTGTAAAGGAAACTCTGGCTTTCTTCTTCCTTCTTTCTTTTCCACCTCCTTCTTACTCTGTCTCTCCCCTTCCCCTTGCTTGCTACACCGATTGTTAATCTCTCAAAGTCTCTTTTGATTTTATTTTACTTTATCTGACATTACAGATTACAATTTTTGAAGTAAATTCTATAATCCCTATATCTCAATATATTCCTCTTTCTGAATTTATTCTACCTAAAAACAAATAGGCAAACAAAAAAAGATGAAAGCAACCCTGCTATAAAGACTTTGGGAACTTGTAAACCATAAAGATTCACTGCAATATTCATTTACGCCTTGATGTAACATTTTATTATAAGCAATACCTGATTTACTGAGTTGTACCAAAGTCTGAAAAGTATTATCTGCTAGTAAAAATAGAATAACATTGCTCAAAATTGATTACATTTTTTTGAATAACACAATTATACACACTGGCTTTTTAAGATGGCATGCCAATGGAATAGATATAATTAACGTAAAGTTAAATTAAGTTTTCTAAGACTATGTTAACAGGCAGTACAAGTAAGATACACCTATATGCGTCAAATAAGATTGGGTTCTTATTTGCCTTTAAAAGTTTTTTTTGGTGTGGGATGATTTTCATTTTTTATATAGCCAAATCTTTTCAACAATTTCCTATGTTATTTCTTCTGTTAGTTCTAAGCTTGGAAACTTATCCCTTTCAGAAAATTTCCATTTCTTCTAGTTTTTTATATGACTTAAAAGCATATTTGCATATGCAAGTTATTACCCAATTAACAGTCCCCAGACCACTTGTTAAGTAAGGCATTGTATTTCACTGATTTGTGATATCTTTTCACAGCCTCCTAGAAACTAAGTGAGAGTAAAACACTAACATGAACGAAGATGAGGGACCAAGCCATGCTCTGAGCCAGACATTAGAGCACATGATCAAAAACAAAAATACTGTTTTAGCTTTGAAACCTGCTTTCTGAATTAGCAGTACCCATCGTGAATGTGCCTACAGGAAGGAGAAAGGAGACCTGGAATTCCACCGTTACCAACAATGGTATTCCTTTTGTTCCCCTTTCCAAGACATCCTGTGGCAAGGAGCTCGCTGTACACTTTAAGAAGTCTAAATATAAACAGATTGTTCTT